TTTTCTGATGCTTATATTACAAACTAGTTTTTTTTGGGTTGTTGTGGTTTCGCCCGTGTCTTCGTTGAAGTACTGGTATGTGGTTTCGTTTATAACTGCAAGTGTGTGGTTTCGTTAAGCTTGTAAGTATAATAAGTGTTGTGAACTTTCATACTTCAATCATAACTCTTTTTCTAATGTTCTTTATTTCGATAGTACATTAGGTTTTGCTCCATCCAAAGCCGACTTTGATAAAACCAGTGCCTTCGCTTGTAAGTATAATAAGTGTTGTAAACTTTCTTACTTCAATCATAACTCAATTTTCTGATATTCTTTATTTCAATAGTACATCAATAACCTTCAGGTTTTGCTCCATCCAAAGCTAACTTCAATCATACCAGTGCCTTTTGCTTGTAAGTATAATAAGTGTTGTGAACTTTCTTACTTCGATCATAACTCTTTTTCTGATGCTCATATTACAAACTAGTTAGTCGAGTAACAACAACGTTCTCTTCTGTTGAATAATGGGTATATATCGGGAGACAAATCTCCTGATATGTACCCATTATTTTATTATAGATCCGCGAGTTAGATCAATAATTGTAATATGACAGTAACATACTGGAACATCCCGGTATTTTCCTCTTAGCACTATTTGAACTAAGAGTAAGATACCAGGATGTCCCAGCATGTTATTGTTATGTTACTATTAGCAATTTATCTCCCAATATTTAACCAATATGCTACAGTTATTTGGCGGATCTATGGTAGAATAATGGGTATATATCAGGAGATTTGTCTCCCGATATGTACCCGTTATTCATTAATTCAACCTGTGATATGTTTCTGATATAATAGAGTAGGTTCTAGAATGTGTATCTTTCATATTAAAAAGCGAAGCATCTATTTTCTCTTTTATTATAAAGTATTAGTTACGATTTTCTTACTATAAATCTTCACTATTTTTAGCTTACTTTTAGTGAATTAGTATACTTGTTATAAAAACTTTTAGCGGTTGATACTACATTGTGTGTTTATTATGCGTCGCTCTTCATTATACTATATAATAGTATATACTAACTCCTACCTTTAACTTAATCTGTTGAGTTAAAGTTTGGAACTGGTTTTATTTTTCATATGTTAAAACTGATTAAACTTGGGTTTAACGTATGAAAAATAAAACTAGTTCAAACTCTATGTTGAGTAACATTATACAATTAAATAATATGACACGATCCTATGGAACATAAACTGCCGATTCTATATAATACAAACTGCCGATCCTATGTAACACAAACTGCCAATCCTATATAACACAAACTGCCAATCCTATGTAACACAAACTGCCGATCCTATGTAATACAAACTGCTGATTCTATGTAATACAAACTGCCGATCCTATATATTATTACTATAGCCACGTGACTTATAGGGACTAGCAATATAACGCCATAGCAATAAATTATAAAATCCTTTTATATATATAATTTTTTGAAAATAAAATTAAAAGCCGGGTTGCCAGGTCATTTTTAAAATTTTGTTGAGAACCAAAAAATTAATTTTTTATGGCCTTAAATACAATAACAATTTAATTTTTTATTATTAAAGGATGAATAATCAATCAGAACATATCATTAACTTTGGAAATATTATTTTCGAATAATACAATAAAATTCATCATCTACAAAAAAAATTGGACGGGAAGAAAAATGAGAAAATACACTGAATATAAACTAATAGATGTTATTTTCGATTATTCAATTTTTGCTTATCGTCCTTTAAAATAATAAATAATAAAATTTTTTTCTCAAAATGGTTGCATTTCCATCAAAGCAATTGGATTCGTTCGTGCGCATTTTATTCCATTACACTTTATAAAAAATTATATATATAATTTAAGCCAGAATGAGCGGAATTAAGAAATTGTTACGCAAATACAACACTAATAGTTTTTTAGTGCTTCGAATATTGTTTTTTGTCTGTCTTGAATTTCTTCATTGAATATTATTCCTGATAAAATATAAATTATACGTGGCAGATCATAATGAAATCGGATTAAAATGAAATGAGGGTTTCTATTTAACCCTCTAAAACCCACCTATACTTGTTTATTATAAACTTTATCCTAAAACTAACCTCTAACCGTACTTTCTACCTCATCACAAATTGTATTCGATTGGATTATAATCATGTGCGATTTTTCTTTGTATTAACCTCTCTTCATTGATCTTAATTTTTTTATGATGCCTTCCTGTTGCCTTTGAATAAACTATAAACTATTTAGTGTCTTCGTTTCAATTAATGTATTTTAGATAAGTTAACAAAGTTATGACGAATAAAGAATGAATTGATATAAAAAAATATTTGTTATATAAGATGAATGTTAAAGTTATTTTATTTGCCATGCTAAATGTGTTATTTACATTGTATTTATTAGAAATCTTAATATAAACTTCGTTTTGAATATAAAGTTAATATATATAGCTGTTTTACATTCATTCATTCATCAACAATTATATCTTTGAAATATATCCATGAACCTTCACTTGATATAAGCATGTGAGTTCATCATCACCCCAATTGCCCTTAATTTTTAAGACAACAGCCTTCATTACTGGCAATAACTCCAAATTTGGATGATTTATTTCGAAATTTTGGGCAGGAGGACCATCAAGTTCATAATCGAAACTACCAAGTTGAATATATTCATCATGTTTCTCTTGAGAATCAACAGAGATGCCAACAATTTCGAAAGACTTTGGTGCACGTCGCATGTCATCCGGATCCAAGGCCAATGCGGGATTTAAATGTTCGTAAGTGATTGAAGTCACTTTTATATTGTGACTTAAATGAATTGCAAGTTGACCGTGAGTACCGGTAAAACAAAAGCAGTTTCCTGCCTCATTGTTCGATGTTAAGACGATCTTTGCCGGTTTTGATTGGATAGGCTTGATATTAAACATTTTCGATACCTGACGTTTAACGAATTCATCCGGATATCCAACATATTCACTAGAAGTCAGGTGAGGAATTACGCGTGCACCACTTGAAAGAAGAGCATAATTCGGGACGAGTCGAGTTTCAGACTCTGTATATTCTTTGATTACATCCTTAGCTATGCGAGTGACCAAATCATAAATTTCATGTCTTTTTATAGACAGAAATTCATATTTTTCGCGTAATATATCATCAACAATTTTTGAGATAATATCATGTAAAAGTTCAAACCACTTCTCACATGAAATTTGTTGTGGTATATCAAGATAGAAATTGCGATGAATCGATTGTTGCGATGCACCGATCAAAGAGCGAATTCTTGTAGTAATAAGCCTAGTGATATTTACAAATTTAAAATGGTGACCAATTTTAGACCATGAAACCAAATGATCATTTGTGGAATTATTGAAAGACCAGATAACTAAAGAATTATTATAATGAGGTCTAAAGAATATGGTAAAAAAAATCAAACTGATTATTATTAGGCTAGGTATAGAAAAACTCGGAAATAATTTTTGTTGTATAAATATCAAACACTTTGGGATCAATAAAATAGGAAGAATTAAGAGCACCAAAGTGTTGCATGTCATAGAAAAAAAGAATTTCCAAGTTTGTTTACGTCCTAATGATATAGGGCTAGTATTGTATAATTATAATAAGCATATAAAATTCAAGTCCAACAATATACGTAAATTATTATTACATACATTGATTGAGATTTAGGGATGGGTACTGGAGGTCGAATCTTTTGAATTTTTTTCATGGCTATCCAGCGAATATTCGATGAGTTTTGGTTATCCACGAAGTTCCAATTTATATACGCCTTAGCATGACTACGTCATGCATCATCAGGTTGGTTCTACCACAAAATCTCGCCCGAAAGAACATAATACCGACTAAATTGGTCAGCATTATAACTAATGCCGGCTAACTTTGTCGGTATTAGGTCCTTTCAGGAATCTGTCTTTCGGGATTTTGTGGTAAAACCAAAAATGTAATTGAAAGCCGATGATAGATTTTCCCTTGGCGGCACTCATTAGCTGATATTATGTAAATTAAAAACTTTTGGCCAAAGGTTATAATACAGTACAGTAGATCAAAATAAGACTTTAATCAATACTTCGATTTTTAAATTTTGCAAATACAAAAAATAATTATTTAAATGTTTACCAATTTTCTATATACAATATTACAGTATACGTATACAGTTTATTTTTAAAAAATAATATTTACTTTATATCGATATTAATTAATAATGATACAGTATATAAATTGTCCACGTGATATTGCAATAACGAGAGCGAATATGATAAATGTTTGGCATCGAACAATCGTTACAGATCGTTACAGTAAAACTTTAATGAACCGAACCAATTGCATAAGCATATATATATTAGAGTTGGACCGTTATTACGGACCAGAAACAAATTGGACAGGTTCAGAAGACTGGCCTTTTTTCGACTCAACTTGATAATATGTGTATTCTTTGATGGGCTTAGCCAATTCTACTGGCATACTCAATCTTATTTCAATTTTTCTAACATTTACTGCGACATTAGACTTGGTAGCCGGAAGACTATAACGATTGTCCTTTCTAAATTTATTGCTTTTATTATTACTATGTTTTCCATGTCTCAATGAAGGTTCATTTTGGACAAGTTGCAATGGCTTCAGTCTCGAGTCTGAAATACGTCTCCGGTTTCTTCTTTGTCGATAAAGAACAATTACAAAAATTAAAAGTAATCCAAGTATTACCGCGATGACTATCATCAATGCGATGAAAGTTGTATTATTGGTTAAACTAGAGAATTGTCGTTTGTAAAGATGTTTGTTCAAATTTATAGGTGTTGACACACGGTTATGCAACATTGTAAAAATTTTCTATTAGATATATATTATTTATGTGAAGAGAAAGTTTCTTTTGGGTTGACTTTGTTTTTATCGTTTTCTTTATACGTATATAATAATAATAATAAATAATAATGAATTATCATTATTTTTTATCAAATGATTGTGATATAATACTTTGTTAGTAATCCGAATGAAATGTACAAAGTTGGTTACTTTCAATAGTACGTTTATTTTTAGTTTTATTTTTAGTTTCTTATTCAGCATTAGTAAAGTAATGAACTGCTGAATAGAGCATAGGTATGTATCATATTCTAAAAATATATTCTATTTTAAAAGAATTTATTTCGGAAACGTCATTCCATTTATGCCACAATAAATTTAATAATAATTTCGCTTTAAGAAGTGTCTGACCAGTCTAAATTAAATATGTAGTAAATTGACTGTCACCTCTAACCCTATTTATTACCTCTAGTGAATCAAAAATTTTCCATGTAATGAAACTTTAGGGTTAGGGTTAGGGGGAGATTTATTGATTAATGTTTTGTGGGAAATCTACAGGAGTTGTCTAGCAATCAAATATCACATGGCATTTTTGCGCCGTTGTGTCGGTAATACGTGTGGCCATGTAAGCGAAAAATTTAAAAGACGCAAGGTTTATGCACCGCCAAAAATAATATTGGCAAAAAAGTTCTCGACCCTTAAATTACAATTTACAAATAATCTGTCCAAAAAGGTGTATTTGTTATAAATTTACAAGCAAATTGTTTGATTAGAGGTTGGACCCGTTGAGAAAATCTCTACCCGGGTATTATTAAATTACCCGGGTTATCCAGGTAAATTATTATATATCATAGCACAATTTCTACCCGGGTCCAACCCCTATCAGTCATAGGACATGTCCAACCGAATATAGTTACTTATAAATCAAATGAGTTAACACACCTAATTTTATATATAAATTTTTGCAAAAAAATTGCTAAAATTAAATTTATTTAAAAATATACATATAAACCTTTCTTTAAATATTCTTTAGCATTTAATAATTTTTTGTTTAAAGTTTTAGTTTTTAATTTTAAGTAGAAGAATGGGAATCTTCTACTAAAGTTGTTCAATTCTTTACTATATTCTTTAAGTCAAATAACTAACTTACTCTATATAACAATATAATTGGTTAAAATAATCTTTTAAAATTAAAGAAGGTTTACTAAGTAAAGATTTCTTCCAGCTTTAGAAAAAGTTGTAGAGGAGGTTCTTCCGATTCTAATGGTAGTTAAATCATTAAAATTGGCTTGGTGGATCTTAAGCTATTTAGGATCAAAGAAAAGAACATAAAGATTTACAATTTCACTATTACATGAAACCCTCCTAGCACAAGGAAAAACTATGGAGATCGAACACTAGGTTAGAGAAAAAGAAAATGATGAAATGTTAGTCAAATGCACAGGTTGTAGTGAAACAAATCTGAATACAAACAAGAGCTGCTTAGTTAAAAAAGATATGAACAGAAGCAAAAGAGTACTCAAAAAAGGTGTAATTAAGAAAAAGAAAGAAAACAAATTCTTTAGTGAAATTCTACTAGAAATGTTAGATCTAAACCGGGCAAATCAAATAGAAAACATACCAAGTACAGCTCTAGAGACCTAAATATATATAGATTTCCAAGAGAACTAGATAATCAAATAGTATATTGTTAACAAGAGCTATAGTGACAAGCTAATAGAATTAGCCCAAGATGTATCTATGAAAAGCAAACTAAGTATATATACAGATGGGACATTAGAAATTGCAGAAGATGATCCGTACTGAAAAAAAATAAGAATAGGTTGGTTAATTGTTAGCAAAACAAACTCTAATAAACCTTCAGTAATAGGGCAATTCAAAGGAGCAATTAAAGACTGGCTCTCTTTAACCTGAGCAGAGTTAGGAGCAATTGGTACAGCCTTACTAGTAGTCCCACACAGATGTAGAGTCAAAATATATACTGATAGT